ATGGTAGGACTGGGCTGGCACTAGGTGAGCCAGGGGTTTGACGTGTCTTCAGGCATCAGGGGTGGCTGGCTATATGGGAAGCAAGACATGGCCCAGGGTTGTAGCCACCCCATCTTTACCTTCATAATGTCACAGATGTGATACAGGTAGGAGGCCAGGGTCTGTCTCCTCATGTGGTAGAAGTCCTAAGGAGGAGCCCTGTATCTGAGAGTGGGCACTCTTTTCCAGTCCAGGGCTAAAGCAGAAGATCTGCAGAAACATGCTCTGCCCTCAGGCAGGCTGCCACTTCCCCAGGGGACTCCAAGAGGACTTCAGCCGCCAAGGGCATTGAGCCTGGCACCATCTGAACAAGCCAAAGCTTTCTGGCAGGGTTTCACAACCTCTGTACAAACAGAACCAGCCAGGGAGTAACCAACGTGCATTAGAAATGTAGATCGAGCCACCAGACCTGCTGGTGAAACAGAGTGTGTCCCAAACATAGGTTTGTTCATGCGTGTGCAGGGATGAGGACAGCTATGCCAGAGTGCTGCCAACGTGGAAGGAAGGAATAAGACCAAGTAGCATAAGAGTTACCAAGTAGCATAATGGGAATGATGAAAACCAGACAATTTTTAGGATTACTAGGCATTCTGATTTTTCCTGGAGAGGTCTCAGTTTCACCCCAGTGCTCCAATATGTAGAAGAGGAGCCAAAATGATTATAGAATATCATGACTGGCCCTGAAAGAAACTCCAGAGTAAGGGGAAGATACAAGGTACTGAATTTCAATTTGCAGACAGATATATTGTGGGTTCACTAGACCAAGCCGCACATTCCACAGGCCAAGAGAATTTCTTTCTCATTTCTTTCTCTTTCATTCTCTGACTCTATCTAGTCAGTCTAATTTTAAAATAATTTATTCACTCTCAGCTCAGCAGCACCCACCCTGGAAATCATCATATGGCATTTAAAAGTCTATCTACCTCACACAAACTTATCAGCCCCTTTGTGCACCAAGGGAAAAATGAGGTGCAAAAAGGGAAGGGAAAAAATGACAGATATAAAAGGTGCCTGAAGCCGAGGAATAGAAAATGGCACTCAGCGGCTTTCTTAGGTCTTGGGAATCACTGTGTCCTTTGCTCTGGGCAATTTGAGGGTGTAGCAAATGAATAAAGAGTTAAAACGCTAAAAGCCAAAAACCTGTAATAGAGTGTAACCCTGGCATGTCCAGTCCACCCCATCTCCAGATAGACCACCACACGAGAGCTGTAAAACAGCTCTTTTCCACAAGCAAGCAAAAGCTGACGTGAAATGAACTTGGAAATAGGACACATAGCTGTATTCCTAAGGGGAACAAAGCAAGAGATGCATCCTCCCTCTACATTTTCATTCCTTGCCAGTCTCCCACCAGTCTGGGCCACCCTTTACTGCAATCATAACGAATGATCCCTTTCAAAGCCTCCAGGAGAAGACGTGTAGGAGTTAGGCAGCAAGCTAAGACTGACCACAACAGGCAACTGCAGGGAACAAGGGAGTTTGCCAGCCGGCATTAACAGCTGGACTCTGCCAGGTCAGCAAGACCAGCAGGTCCAGGAAAGCCTGGTGTGAACCAACACTGACAGTGCTCTACCTGCGCAACCTGCCGCTGCCAGCATGAAGAGGGCACAGACCAGCCTGCCTACAGGGGAATACAGGTGCATGCAAACACCTCTGACCCAGCCGGACAGCAAATATGAGCCCTCAGGGTGAAAACAGAGACGGAGACTTGCTCAGTGAACTGCAGACCAGCCCTTACCCCCCAGCACCCAGGGGGTCAGGGTTTCAGCCTCATCCCCACTGAGCAAATGAGATCCCAGATTTTGCAGCTTAACCTCTTTGCTGTGACACACACGTGCGGAGGCGTGGTGGCCAGGCTTAGGAGCATGTTCCCTCCCAATGACATCAATGGTGCTGAGCAGAGAGCTGTTAATTAACCCCGTTTATTGAAGGGCGGACACACTCCTGCCTGGGCCCTGATTTTTCAGTCAGGCTCCAGTCCAGCAGGTGATTAATAACCCAGTGTGCTGTGGGAAGAGTGCATCTATTATTCAAATTAATGAAATTATAATCAAGAGGTGACGAATTAGCAATTGCTCCTTGACTGGATATGGAAACTCATTAGTGTGCCAGACGCTTCTGGGGTGCTCGCTGCACTCATAGGCTTATGGTTAGAGAGGAGGGAGTCAGACAGCCCCTTGGCACAGCTGAAGGAATATACATCCTGCCCACCCCAAAATAGCTGTGGCCACCACACAGCCCTCCAGTCCCACAAAGCCCTTCCACCTCTTACTCCTCCCTGATGGATAGACTGGTGTGCCACTGCCTGGAGCAAGGTGGCTGTGGCCATGAGGGGGGAAAATGGGTACACATGGGTACAATGCTCTTTTTCGTGGAGGGTAGGGAGCCTTATGCTAGAGAAGGAGTGAGCCAGGGGGAAAGGGGTGATGACTGACTGCAAGATACTGCCCCGAGGATGGGCTGCAACAGCCTCACAACCCTGACACTGCTGGGGTGTGGGTAAGGGTCAAGTATCTGAAAGCAGCAGCCCACCTTGGTGCTTTGAGCACCAGGGTAGGACTCCCACCCTCCTAAATCGCTGGCTGCAGACACAGCTGGAAGAGCAAGAAGCCGGAGGTCTTCCCTGACAGCCCAGACTAGGCTGGGGTTACCCTTCCCCAGGAGTACTCACCGATATGCTTCCCGTACATGTGGTAGTAGAAGGAGACACAGTAGTACTTGGCAGTAATGTTGTAGAGGGGGCTGATGAGACGGGCTTTGTCCCCTGTCACCCGGGGCCGGGATGCCTCAATGAACATGTAATAACCTACAGAACGAGAGGGAAAGGTGGAGAAAGGCAGTGTGCCCTGGGTCTCCCTTCCTGAAAAAGATGGGATGCCGGAGGCTGGGAGACCACTCCTCCTCTGAGAGACATGGCCTTGCTCTTCCCATCTGCTCTGCACCCACCGTGACCCTGTCCAGAGACACCTGCAGTGTGCCTGGAGTGCCTCCCCTGCCTCTCCAGCACTTAGGGGGGTGCAGGAGAGATGGGCATGAGCAGATGCGCTGTGAGCGCATGCAGCAGCTGAGTCCCTGAGAACACGCACATCTGTCTGGGTGCAAACCGAGCCTTTCTCCTGCAGCGTGAGGGGCCCCAGAGCTGACTGCACTGTGTAAGGAGAAAAACAGAAAAAGGAGGGAGAAGCCATTCCAGCCTAATTTCTCTGTCTCAAGCAGAGGGAGAGAGGATTCAGTATATCTAGTCTAAACAATATTGTTATCTAAAGAGAACAATACCATAGTAGTTGTTATGAAACCATGGAGAAACAGATTTGTTGGCATCATTTTCAATACTCGATCAGGCTGGTGTACTGAACGCTAATGGGAAAAGCCATTTCCTTAGCTGGTTGTTGGATGTTCCCCATTTTTTCTGGGTTCAAAGATTTGTGCTTGCATACAAATTCACCTTCCTCATTAGAAAAAAGGGAAAGTAATACCCAGCTAAAATGGGAACAAGTACTCCGTGCACAGCTAGCGTGAGCAATACACACCACCAGTCTCCTCCAGCTAGAGGTGAGCCGCTTGCTGCCACCCTGCTGGCAGCTCCTGCCTGGTCTCTCATGTTCCTGCTTGGTACTAAGGAGACCTGTTTGTCTCCCTAAGACCTTCTTTGAGGAACAGCTGGCTAAAACCATCAGGGCCATTTCTAGGTGTTAGAGATGTTCTTCTATTTGTTTATCTTTATTTGACTTCAAAACAAGCATCAAATGGGACAAGAGCATTAAGCAGCAGACAATTAGCTGGTAACAAGAACTAATGCTCACACTATTCCCTTAAACCAAGTTGTGGGCATTTTAATTGTGTGTTTAATGCTAATCAGTAACATGCAAATTAGCTGCCTGCTCCCTGCACCCCGTGTGCAGAAGTGTGTTGTGTGGAAAGTAGATCAGCACTCCACCAGCTCCCAGAGCCATAGGACTCCTGACAAGTGACAGCATGCATCCTGCCTCCACAGCCCAGCCAAAATGAACCCAAACGTGTGCCTACCCTCTGGCGTACCGCTGATGTCCATGGGGGGCCCCGTGTTGACGGTGCGCTTGGGGTTCTGGGTCAAGGCATTCTGCCGGGTCCAGTCGAAGTTGTCCATCTTGTCCTGCATGAAGCCGCAGATCTTCTCGTCCTCAAAGCGGCAGGTGTTATCTGCGGGGAAGGGAAGGGGCCGGTCAGCTGTCACTTTTCAAAACCTCTCCCCAAGGCTGCCTGGGTGCTTGCAGCAAGTCCCACAGCACCACTACATCACCACTGAGGGTCTGTGTCAAGCCAGGGACAGATGGGCAGCCCCTGACCTCAGGAGGAGGCTGAAAAGGAACATATCCGTGATTCGTATGATTATGGAAGGGTTAGCCCAGGTTGATGGATGTGACGGTCTGACGAAATGGAAGAAGGCTATTAGGTCTAAAGAGAAAGAGAGATTCTGCTGGGAGGTCTGAGGGAGCAAACGTAGAGGAAGGTAAAAAAAGCACTGAAGGCAAACAGGTCGCAAGGGCTTTTAAACCAGAACAACTTGATGGTAGAAAAATTTCCCCAGGAGACAGGAAGAAGTGCCAGCAGATGACCCCCCTTTGGGCTATATATTAAACTAAACTATAGTATATGTGAAAAAAATCATCTGTGGAGAAGAGGTCAGCTCAGTGCTACAAATGTGTCATTTAGCTAGAATACATCCAATTTACACCAGCTAAAAGACACGTTTGATATTGCAGCTTATGCTGTTTCCCCTAACAAAATAAGTCATGTAGGTAAAAGATTTTTATGTAGGATCAACCACATGTGCCACAGGGCTCGATTTTATTACTACCACAATACAGTCACACCTTACAGCAATATTGTGAGACAGGTGAAAAGTCTTGTGCATAGACATAACCCAATATGGACCTGCAGAGACTGGAATGAATTGGACTTGACCAGGTTGAAAACAGTAACCTTTGTGGTAAAAATGTAGTTCCTGAGCCACAAAAACAAAGGCCAAGAACCAGCTTTACACTGCTGACACAGTAGGAGAGCAATGGAGGAAATACGTGGAAGAGAAAGAGAAAACAGGTCCAAGACCCAAAATGAAAATGGTTTTGTGTTCTGAAAACTCTCTGGGCAGAAACCAGAGCTGGAGAATGGGCTGAGGGTGGGATCTCAGACCTTGTGAGTGGCGCAGACATGGTAAGCACAGATATCTCTATCTTCTACCTTTATGTAAGTGCAAAGAGGTGTGCTATGAAACTGAAAGATAAAGCACTTAAAAGCCATGAAAGAACACCTACAGAAAGGAAAGCATGGCTGTCGCTAAGGGGTTGGGAAGTGCCAGAAACCTCATCCACGGCACGATGGTGCAAGACTCAACTTTTTGGGGTTTACCCCCAACACTGTTATCATGCCCACATGAAGAGAAGGCCAAATGCCTACTTGGGCACCTGAATTCCTGTATCTTCAGTGGTGGTTTTCTCTGGTTCCTCGGCAGGAGACTCTTTGTCTTAGCATGGGTGACTCTGTCAGGATGTGTAGGGCAGAGCAGGATTAAGCAACCTATGGGCTGGCTGCCAAGGATGAGATGAGCAAGGGCAGCTTTCTGCAGTGCCAGGGCCAAAAGCTCCATACGTGGTACACTGTGATGGCAGAGGCTTCGCACACTTACCATGCACACCGAAATCTGCCATCTTGTACCAGAGAGGAGAGACTACTTGTGAAAGTAACAGCATCTTGACTCTGAGATGCTGCACCTCCCGCTTCCTACCCTGCAGCTAAGGCCCTCCCCATCCTTTCCCATTTGAAAATGTAAACAAACGTCATCCAGACGTCAAAAGCCTGCACACCTCTGTGGCAGGGAAAGGGATCCCCCTTCTTGCCTGTCCCTCTCCACCATCCCACCGAAGCAGTGAGAAAAGAAGAGGCAGCCTCCTGCTGTGGCCGGCAAAAAAAGTTTTCGGCACCGCAGGTTGGACACTGTGCTGCAAGCCAAGGGCTTGGTTCATGGACCAGGGCAGCTGGGTTTTCTGTAGCGAGCTGAGCATAGCCATCGGGAGCTCGGCTGGGCTGGCCACTTAACTGCTGATTAACCCTGGCTAAGTGCTTTCCGTTCAATCCGCTCATTTCTAATTAGCATCCTAATCCAAATTAGCCAATGCTCCTCAGTGCTGAGCACAAGGGGCCACCCGGCAGCTGGAGCTGAAGGAGAGAGGAGTGGGGAGCGGATGATGGGGCAGAAGCCTGCAGGGTCTGAGGCAGGGCAACTACGTGGGATAGGGGAGGAATATTTCATCCCCAGCACAAGGAGATGGAGGGGAAACAGGCTGAGAAGGCAGCTTCTAAGGGCTATTCCCCAGCCCTCGTGGTTGAGAGAAGGGCTGAACCAGACACCCACTGGTCCTCAGAGGAGGGGGTGGAGCCCACAAGGTTTTTGATATCACCGTCTTGGTCTAAAAACCCCTGGCTTCTCACCATTGGACTAAAGACAAGCATTTAATGGCTCCAGCTCAGAGGTTGCCAGCTGCAGTTAGAACACACAAGTTTTCTCTTACAATGGCATTATCCTACACAGCAGGATCCAGCGTGACTGTCCTTTTACAATCAAGGGGACTGGGATGGTTTGCACCACTGACCCTGCTGTGCACGTGGACCTTCAGAGGAGAAAGGTGACATCTTTGTCCAGCACAAAATTCCCTTAACAGGGAATCTCAGGTGGAAAGCAGAGCTGAAGGCTGTAACACAGAGGCGAGCCAAGCATCTGATTGAGAGGGAGCAAACCCACAAAGGACGAGGCACAGAAACCAAAGGAGAGGTAGATGAAGGAGAAATCCCAAGCTCAGTTGGAGATCAGAGAGAACTGTGCAAGACTTAAGGACTGAGGACAGTATTCCCAGCTTAGCGCCAAGGCTTGGTTGTGCCAGCTGATGGACTACTGTGTCTCATTTGTAAGAAGCCCCACATACCCATGGGATGAGACTGCTCAGAGACTAAGACTCAAAAGCTTGAAGAGAGCTCTTTTAATGAAAAACAGGGCCCTGAGTCCATCCTTTCCTCTTGCTCAGGTGCAGCTACTTCCAGAAGGCAACACTTCTAGCCCAGAGCATAAAATAGAGAAGGGTCCTATGCACCACAGACACAACAACATGATCAGGGTTCTGTGCAACACCATTTGCTGTGCAGGAGTGTATAACTACAGCATGTTGTCGCTGCTTAGCCTGGGATCTCGGGGCACTTTGCAACAACTAATGAACAAGGCTTTTTAACAGCTCTATGAGGTAGCAATGCCTCTGTCTACATATCTCCTGCATTACACGTGGGGAAACAGATGCACAGAAGTATAGAGACACGTTTAAGGTCACAGCAGGCAGTGCCAAAACTGGAAACAGAACCCAAGTGCTCTGACTCCTGGTCCTTTGGTTTAAAACAAGCCACGGGAAGGCAAAGCTCTGGCATTTCTTCGAGCTTAGAAGTAGAGGTGCCCAGAATAACTAGGAGAAGTTTGGTGTGGTTTGGGACACCACCAGCACGTCACCTCTGGATAGTTATAAGCAAGGCTCACCAGGAGAAACCTGGCAGATCCAGTGGAAAAGAAAACCTTTAAATAACCTGCTGTGTCTCGGCAGCCACAGCGGTGATCTAACTGTTGACCTCGGCTGTGCGAAGCAACCCTTCTTGCAGACTCACACCATCTGTCAGGGATCCTGGCTCAGCACTGCGGCGCAAAAGAAGCTTCCTGTTTAAAAATTAAACGGTGGATTTAAATATTGAACACAGAAGTTGTTCTCTGGATTGTTAGAGGCGAGGTCGAGGTGGCAGGGGAGCTGGCTCCTCAAAGCCTGGAGTTAGCGCAGTCTTCACCAAACAGATTTCCTTGGCAGGCTTTGCAGTGACAGCAGCTCAGAGCGCAGAGATGTTTGCTCCCGGTTACAGACACCTCCCTTCATTCCCAGGGGAGAGACCCTCTGTCGTGGCTCTTAGCATTTCTTGTTGCTTTGCCTTCTTGAGAAACACAGTGGAGGTTTTCATTTCAAGTCCTTAGGGGAAAGCTATCCCTGGTCGTGAAATTCTGGCTGCCAGATGAATGCAAAATATAATCATCCTATTCTAGCTGCAGACTATGGGTGAATAGCAGATGGAGCACACTTGAATAAAAATTGCCTTCCTCATTTAGCTGGGGTCTGATGACTGAAACTGGCTTGAAGCATAAGGGACCCTGCTCCGAGCCTCAGTTCTGTTGCAGACCTGCTGCATGACCCACAGACTATCACTTTCTCTCTGGAGATCAGTTTCCCCATCTAGAAGATGAAGACAATGAAAACTGTATTGTGACCTCAAAGTATGTTGGGATCTAAGAAACAGCATTTAGCAGCCTTTTCCATGGTAAGTTTCTAAAGCATTTATAACCAGTAATGGAAGAAAGCTTTGCAATACTGTAACTGTCTGGGTCATCCTGGATTGCCATCTGCTTTAATATCTCCATCTGCAACAAAGGGATAACAAAGCCCAGACAATCCTATTTGCCATCACGATACAAGGAATTGGTGGCAGTCATCTTTTTTTAACCTTTGCGTTACACACATTCCTGAGAAATGGGCACAGATTTGAGGAATCAGCTCTAAACACCAGGCTCACATCTCATTCCCACATGTTCATACTGGGGCAACAAGCTCGTATTCCTCTGGACTATGAGGCGTTATCAGAGACAGGACATACAAGCACTAAACAGTAAGCAACAAGACAGGGTAATCTACAACCACCAGCATCGGGTACTGATCCCCACCCACCGTACTTGTCTGTGATCCCAAAACTTTTTAGCAGCACACACAGACAGACTGCAGATACATGGGAAATAGTGTTGCTGCTCTGGAAGGGCAAGACATATTGGTTAAGAGAAAAAAAAAAAAAAAAAGGGAGCAATCCCATATGCTTCTTAATGCCCTTATCTCCAAGGCTGCAAGGCTACATCTGCCAGAACCAAGGAAACCAAACCATTCACTGCTGATGAGCTGGAATAACTTGTGGTGCAGCACTGCAGGTTTTGGGTTAGAAAGGGAAGGCTATATGTCCAAATGGAATTGCAGGGGAGGGGCAAGAAGGACAGAGCAGATTCCCCAGCACTGGAATTTAGTCATGCCATGAAGATGGACAGTTATTCTAAGAGATCTTTAGGGCAATACTTCAGAATTAAGATAATTCTAAGACAGTTTTTTAAAGATGAATTCTGTATTTTTGAGCCAGATTAACTGATTTTTAAGAGTTATGGTCAGTCTTACTGCTAATCTCTAAATATTTGAAATCCTCAATGTCTCTTGTTCACTTCCTCTGCTTCTACTTTGCTTTTGCTTTATAGCCCCAGTACCTGGCTCTATAACCATGCCACATGCATGCCTGCCCCAATGTCATTAACATCTTATTAGGCTGAGAGAGAAAATGCATGAAGAAATAATTGTATTAAGTGACTCTCAGAGTTTGTAAATTAATCACCATTGTGCATGCCCTTGGATCAGGCTGCCAGAGGCATTAATCATCTAATCTTTGCCTTTCACTTGAGAGCTCTCAATGTTTGCTCCCAGAACGTGGCTGGGCAGCCTAGCGTGAGGATAGCTTTACAATCCCATTCCAACCCTTTTCCCTGGGGGTGGTGGTAGCAGGGAAAGTGGGAAAACAATAGGCAGTAGCAGGGGTTTCCACGTTACTGGGATGAGAGTCTGGGAACTGAACTGTGGCTCAGAGACAGAGCTAGGACCCTTCTGACTCATATTTCACTGGCAGCAGGTCTGAAAGGAAGGGGCTTCTCTGAAAGCAAGTGCGGTGGGTACAACCTTAGGCAGTCAATCTCAAGGCGTGAACTCACGGGCAAGACCCTGATGCCTGGCCCAGATGTCCCAGTATCCACCACAGGCTGGGATACTTGTCTCAAGAAGAATCCCTAAGTATGGTGTTTACTGCATGAAAATACAAGTGTGGCTGAGTTACCCTCCACTACAGGCAAATTTCACGCAGTCGTTCGGTCTCAAGCTGCCAAAGCAACCCCAAGCGAGCAGTCTGAAGGTTCAGTTTACAAAAACCACAAGAGACTGACATAATTAGGACCAAAGTTGGTCTGGCTTTACCAGGCATTTATGTAGTGTAGTGTCAAGTGGCAAAAAAACAGATTCTGTCGTTTCTTCCTGTGGACTGGGATGTTTGCCTCCTCCAGTGAGTACTAAGGGACAGGTTCTGGAATGGGTCTCTCGCAACATGCTCAGTGTTTCCCAGAGAGTCATCTATGGAGAATGTTTAAAGAGGATCAGAAAGTGGGGAAAAGCAAAGTAAAGGGAATCAGGAATTAGAGCCACGAAATCCCTCTGAATCTATAAGAAGCTTCTGCTCTCAGGCGGAGTATGGTTCACCAAACCATCCTCAGAATGTGAACTTGCAAGAGTGGACACCTCATGGCTGACTTAACAAGATAACCCCATTCCCTGATTCCTGGCTGCCGTTGCCTTCTCCTTCCCACTGCTACCCTGCACTGCAGCAGTAGCACTTGCCTACAGATACACAGAGTAATATATAAAAAGACTGAATGCTGACTCAGCAGCTGAAAACGGAAAAAGAAACAGCTACATGGAATCACCTGCACCCCATGGACCACCAGCAAGTAGTCTACCCATCTCTGCCCAGGATCTTTTCCTGGGCTTATATCCAACAATCAAAGCAAAGGGACTTTGCTTCATCCCCCAAAGACCCCTCCACCACCACTTACAGCACGTTAGAAATGCTCTTTTTTCTTGGTGGGCACCATCACATTCTTGCCAAAGACCGTTGTTCTGAGACATGGTGTATTCTGCTCTCAAAATCAATGGGAACTCTGGGTGCTCAATAAAGAGGGGTCTGCACCTTGGTAGGACTGACCAGAAGGTAAATAAGCAAGTAAACAGTGATGACACTGGAAGGGAAGGAGAAAGGGAGTGTGCTTAAGGAGTTTGCAAGAAGAACCAGATTTGAGATGGAGACTGCTCCATACCAGCCTGCAGAAATGTCAGGTGGTATCTTTCCTGGTCAGAAGAAGATACAGGATATACATTTTTTAAACATAGATATTTTAGGGAACATTTAATAACGTGCTTACTGGATGCAGATTGCTGATGTTAGGGGGAGGGTGGGTTCAAGATCAGAGCCTATCCAGCCACAGAGATATCAGGTTTGAGTTGGAGACATATCTCTGGTGTACATCTCCTGGCAATAACTCAAAGTACAACAAATGGCATTACTTTCTGGCAGCATTAGTGTATGCAATTTCATCCTCTGTTGGGGAAAAAGATTTGGCAAAGACAGCTGTGTATTCCAGCTGTTTGACTTGCCTGATCTGCTGGAGCACTTGACTGACACACATTATATATACAAAACATAAATACAAAGGTCTTGTTGCTTACCTGTTGGGTTGGGATAGTTGATTGCTGGAAGAGGAAACAGAAAAACAAGTCAGAACAGCTAGTATTCCCTCAAATTGCAAATCACTATCAAAGTGATAAACAAACACATCAAGAAAGGTCACAGATGCACAAATCTCCTAGCAGCATCCCTGTGAAACAGCAGTGCTCAGTGTCTGCCTTGGTGACGGAACAAGATGCTGACACTGATCCAAGCAGCAACAAGGCTTAAGAATACCCCACCTAAGGGGTGATACCAGGACTGCACAAGGGAGCCCTTCTGGCAACCCAAGCAGTTTCTGTCTGGAGCACCCACTGGGATAGCACCCACTTAGATACCAAAGCTTGGTATCAAAACATCAAAACATTTGGAGACATTGCTGAAGTTTGAAATAACAGGTAGGCTGGGGAAATCGGACACATCACTCCACTGAACAAGAGGCTTGTGTGAAATCATGCAAACATAGGAGAAATGGGGATACATACTTTCTGCTGGAATACAGGGTCAAAACTCCTGAGGGGAGTAAAGAAATTATAGGACTGTGGGAATGGGGAGTTGTGAGCTGTTGGGATGCTGGAAAGAGAAGCATGGTCAATATATATCAATGGGATGATCATAGAATCACAGACTGGTTTGGGTTGGAAGGGACCTTAAAGACCATCTAGTTCCAACCCCCCTGCCATGGGCAGTGACACCTTCCACTAGACCAGGTTGCTCAAAGCCTCATCCAGCCTGGCCTTGAACACTTCCAGGGATGGGGCATCCACAGCTTCTCTGGGCAACCTCTTCCAGTGCTGATCTGGGTTTCAGCATATTGGACAGAGCTACAGGTTTACTAGTGACTAGTTAAGGAAAGAAGTGTGCATTCAGCTCTGGAAAGAACTGAAGTCTCCTGAAACCCTCTGACTCTCATGGGCATGTGGTTAATACACAGTGTCCAGAGGCTGCCATCTACAATAGGCCACTGTACTGTGGGAAGCTGCAACAGGGCCGGACAGGAGACTGGGGTTTTGGGGCTCTCCTGCCCACAGAGCAGAGAGCACCAGTCAGAGCTGCTGAGTGAAGGATGAGCAGAGGCTGGCCTCAGAGGTCTCTACCGAGTGCTCTGCATTGATGAAACAGCCAAAAGATGGTGAAATGTCATAGCACCGTGCCACCAGAACTCCGTAGAGCATTAAGATCCACCCAAGGGTCACAGAAGACAACATCTACGCATGTCCATGTCCCTAGGCCTGAGGCTCGGACCTGCTCTCGTAGCCAGGACCGAGGAGGAGACACCTACGTTCCATGTACCGGATGATGCGGGCAGCCATGTCTCCAGCCCCAAAGCTGGTGATAGGTGTCAAGCGAACTTCATAGCTCTGAGGCACTTTCAGGTTGGGCAAGATGTGCTCCAGCAACAGGCCTTTCTCCATTTTCTGCACGGGAATGAAGGTTTGGACGGTGTTTCTCTGAGCCAGCTGCATAGAAAAAGAAACCATGGTGTTAGGAAAATCCTGAAACTGGAAACCCGAGGGATCCTATCCACCACCTACACTCTATTCCTCCTCTTCTTATACAGACAAGTACACCTGGTTTACCAATGAGATCTTCATGCAGAACTGGTTTGCAAATTCCCACCCCTGGTACAGAACAGTGATCTGGAGCCTGAGCTCTCCCTGGAGGAAAGCCTTAAGTTCCTCCTGACTGGGGGACAACTTGAACTATGGGTCCTGGAGCAACTCTGTTGGAACCAATGTGTCCAAGAGGGCAGGAGTGAATCCAACTCACCTCCGTTAGCGCACCAAGGTCCGGTGCACACACACAGCATGGTATTTTGCCAAAGTACCCTTCAGTGCTGCACAGTTCCTTCATTTGCTGCCTGGGCCCAGTGGCATTTCATTTCATGTCTCACTGGGACCTGTCTACTGCCACGCTTCCTGAGCACCCTTCCACAGGATCCACCCTTGAATCCTAGCCCATGCTCACTCCACAGACCACAGCAAGGAGTCTAGGTCAAGTCAGTGGTCGTCTGGAGTCAGCCATAAGCTCCCTCTTTCTCTGATGCCCATGGAGGAAGGAGCTGAACTGTGCTAGCTGAACCATACCAGCTGGACATTCGGTTTGCCCAGACAGCAGGGGCATTTCAAGAAACCAATGAAATGTCGGAATCACCAAAAAATGATGAACTACATTCCAGGGAAACTTCCCTGTCACAGTCATGGTTGCTTGGCAGGGGAAGGACAAGGACGACGACTGTGTTTTGAAGATACAATTTCCTGCCCGTTGCTGTGGAGTGTCGGGATCCCTGTGGCAAGAGATGTTATGGTCCTGGTAAAAGAGATGCTGGTCCTAGTAAAAAGACTTTTGGCAGGGCTTTCCATGGCCCAGTGTTCACTGTCCCAGACACTAAGCCTTCCCCTGCCTCTGGTATATCCTCTAGGCTGTCAGGTTTCATGGCAAATGCAGTTCTCCTGCTAGGTAGGCTCAGCATTCGTCATTAACTCTGAGGTTACAGGATTACTGGGACAGGGATGCAGGGAGGAAGGTTTACAGCAAATCTGTCAGTGTGGAGAGTGAGACGCAAGAAGATGGAGTGAGGGCATGGCATCAGCAAGGCAAGGCAGGGGAGCAATGCAGATGTGGTGCTTGGTAAAGACACACACATACAATCCCGCCTCTGCCTGCCTCCAGCCCTAACATACATAACCGTAAGTTCAAACTTGGAAGCAATGTCTGCCACTGGAGAGCTTCCTGAGCCAGAGCCCTCTTAATTTCCAACATGGCCAAGACCCAACAACCCATCTCCTCACCTGAGTTGATCTGCCCACAGTTTGGACAGTGGTCCCAAGCGAAGCAGCAGGGCTGGACCAGATCCTGCCATAGCACTGCGTTGGCACCCACAGTACAGGGATTGGTACCTGGGAACCCACGGCTGCCTGTGGTTCCCACAGTGAACAACAACTTTGTACCTGCCTTACAGATTGTACCTAAAAGAGACTCTCGTACCTAAACAGGTCAGGGTGCAAGTTGCTTCAGGAACTGATTTCTGCACCCTTCTCCTCCTCCTCCCCTAGGCAAGATGAGTTAGAGGGCCCGGAACTGCTCTGATGCCTTCCCCAGCCCGGTGCGTTCCCGCAAGGCACCTGTCAGCAGTCCCAGCAGACAGGACCAGGGCAGTGCCTCTGGGAACCTAGCATGAGCTTGTCACCGGGATGCTGCCAGGATCCATCCATACAACAACGCCCCATTTGCATGCACACAAGCTGGGTGCTGATCCAACTGGCATGCCTACCACTCAGCCCTCCCATCTGCCTGCCCTACGCAGCACCGCCCTGCCAAGCAAGAATGGAGCTGGCTCCCAGCGGCAGCAGTCTCCTCTGGGATCATTAGCACCACATCCCCAGTTATCTGGGAGGAGAGGAGCGGTCACAAGCCAGAAGCAGGAGGCTGGAGTGGTACAGGTCCTGGCATGGGGCTTTTTGGGGAGTGGAACCTGACTGAGGGGGCTGGTGGCAGCTCGTCCCTGCAGGCTGCCATGAGCCAGGGTGCTGGGAAGGCAGCCAGTAAACAGGAGGTCAGGAGCCATTTCCCTCGTCTAGACATAACCTTTAGAAGAGAAACAAAATGGAGAGTCAGAGTGAAGCCTGAGGGTGAGATTCAGACAGTGCAAATTCCACCTCAGCTGGGAGCTACATGGAATTTGGGTATCTAAAGCCTCTGGGAGCAATGGCAAATCACTTACTCTCTCACATCATCTAATCCAGGACAAACTGAGAAATCAGCCTCCAGTCTGGACTGCAAAGCTCTAGATCCCCCACTTGAGTCTGTCCCAGGGGCATGTGTGTTTAACCAAATAAATACCTGCCTGCCACCCAGCTCTGGCTGTGAAAGAGAAATTAAGAAAGGCACATATTCCTCCCATGGGTCACAGATGTCCTGCTTCCCAGGAGAGACCTGGGTCTCTAGGTAATGGGAAAGGCACAGCTGGGGCCCAGCACATACCTCTTCTTGGACCATAGGGGAAAAGTTTTGCAAGGCTTTCCTCCCTCCACTAAATACGTCAGAACCAACTCTTCTCTCATCCTGTGTCCTGTCTCTATTCACCCTGCAACTTGGACAGACACAGCAACTGGCTGCCACCAAGGCTGCCCTCTGTACATCCTTACTACAGTCCCTACAGTCCTGGCATCCCGACAGAACTGGCCTGGGATGTCTTTGGAAAGTCTGGCTCTTCTGGGTGAAAAGCAGTGTCTCCCCTGGGCTAGCTGCTGTCACCAGGAGAAAGGGCCAGGTGTGCTGCCAGCACAGTTTGAAGGGCATGAAATTAGTGCAAGGGAGTGCAAGGGCACAGCTCCTGCCAGCTGCTTGCTCTGTGCACAGTCCCTAGCATGGGTCCAGCAGACAGGGACATTAAGGCCAAGGTCTGGCTCTGCCTCCCCCTCTCTAAACACCCTTTGCCTCCCTGATTGCCAGAAGCAGATCTGTGCAGAGCTGCATGCATCAGTTCAGCACTCCACTTCAATCACCCACTGCTGCCCTTGTTCTCCTGCTTCGTGCATGCTCTTCTCCTATGCCAGCCTGGTATCTTCTTCCCCCCACCCCCTCCTCAGCCTCCTTCCTCCTTCTGATCACGCTGGCCCAGTGCTCCAGCTTAATATTGCTGTGGTGCAGTTAATAAAGCAGAGGCAGGCGCAGAGGACAGTGAAACGCTGGCCACCTTATTAGAGATGCTGAAGCCTCAGTGGAGGATCTCCCGCAACAAGCTCATTCATCACCAGGCTCGGGATGCTGCCAGTGGGGCCAGAACAAGAGCACAGCGCAATGCACAGCCTCATCTCTGCCTTCACCTCCTTTCATTTCCAATAATGAGAGGGAAGGGATGGGAAGGGAAAAAACAAACAAACCCACAGTTTCTACCAGCTGGCTGTGAATATCACACAGAGGGAAGGAAGTTCTTGCAGAATGGGTTCACTAAAAACACCTTATAAAGGGCAAAAGCAGCCCTGCGTGGGATGTATGTATTCACATGCACAGTGTGCAACCTGTCGCTTTCCCCTTTCATTTGTAAGTAGTATTAGTAACCAAGGGAAAGCATACTTACATGCTCATATGTACTTAAGCCATCAAGCCTCTGGGACCTGCAGACTAGGTCTGCCCTTTCTCATTCCTCAACATCACATCCTGTTGGTCGGTATTGTCTGCCCAGTCCCCCATCTTATCATTCGAGCTGGCTCGTGGTGCTTAGAGAGTGCTTGTACCACTGTGGCAAGCCAACTCATGGTCCAGGAACACACCCCGAGAGCTTCAGAAGGAAAAGCAGGATGCCACACTACCCCTGCCCCCTGCTTCCATCCCATTTGGGATGCTGCCACAGTGAAGGGGTCCAAAGAATGACACTGTCATATCTATGTTTTCTGTTTATGTAGGCTATTAAAGGAAAAAGGACATTGCTTTCAGACTGAAAGCAAGAGGTACATACCAGCTAACAGACATCATAAAGCCAAAGGATATAATAAACACATCTGTCAATAGCTAATGTTGCAGTCCTGCTCAACAAACCACAGCATGCGTTCACGAGACCACGGTAACCTACCTGTGCTGCGACTTGGTGTGACCCGTGTAGCCACACTTGTCATCTGACAACCAGCTGCACATTATGCAGCTGTGCATGCTTGTTTGAGGAGAAATTAGAAAGAAAACCTGTTTCATCACCAATCCCCAGGGAATTGTTGCCAACACCAGCTAGAAAAACGCACGTTAAAATCATGCAGATTCCCCAACACGTTGACTGGGGCAAAGTAACTGCTCTGCAGGCATCCAGCTTCCCAGCATTGCTACTCCCTCCTGCCACCGTCTCCTTACTCATCCCACTTCTTCAGCAGCTTCTCAGGTCAGGGCACGAGCGCTAGCTCTGCTTTCGAGTATCTCACCTCCAAACCCTTTCCACACACACTCACTCCCTCTCCCTTTTTCCTCAGCCTCATTCAAATTCCCCCGGCTGCTCCTTCCCGTAGCACAAACGAGACAGGGGTGGCTGCCTGCACACCCAACTCCATCCTCGCCAGCTAACCGCAGACGTGGGCCACTGGGAAAGCTCCCAGCCAGCCGGCCTCTCCGAAGGGAGAGGAGAAGGCAGACAAAAGCAGGCTCCCTCCCTCCAACAGCCTCTTCCTTGCTCCCTGTACAGCTCTGTAGAGGAGCACAACACACAAATGCCGTCTCTGGCATGCACGAAGGTGGGACATTGGGCTGAGCCCCCGACTCCACCCCTCCTCTCCCATCTGTGCGTGTCAGGACACTCCAGACATGCATGGGGCCAGGAGCCATGGGGAGCCTAGTGGTGCAGGAAGGATGGGTCTCTCTAAAAGGTCTGGAAGAAGCATGGGGCAGTAATGTGGATAAGAGAATCCTCAGCTGTCCATGCAGCTGATGGGCTGTGCTCTTCAAGCGATCAGCAAAGCTCAGCATCCTGGCAGCA